TGACCTCCCCGCCCCCAGCCGCGGGGCCGACCCTGAAAGGGTCTCTCTCCCCCCACCTCCACCCCCCGGATTCTGGGGAGGAAACTGGCTTTACAAAGGCGATCTGGCCAGATCTGGCCGTGCTCGGCGCTGCACTTACTTGGAGGCAGGTACAACGCCAGGACCCACCAATGCAGCCTCCATGTAGACACAGCTGGAGCAGGCTCCGGTCACATCTGCACCTGCAGGAAAACCGCCCTAGGTGGCTGGAAGGTATCTACACTAGGGGGCCCTGCAGGGGGCTGCCTCTGTCCCCAAAGGCCTAAGCCCCTGGACACAGGCTCAGGGAGGATCAGTGCCCCATGTCCCTCTGCCAACTGCCCCAGGAAGCCTATTGCAGGCCTTGGGCAAGGCAGGCACCTAGAGGGAGAGGGGCAGCGTCACCCCCTCATTGCGTGGGTGGGCAAGCCAGGTATGGGGAGAGTAAGGGACTTGCCCAATGCACACAGGGAGGCGGTGGCAGGGCAAGAATCCAACCGGGTCCCAGACCGGTGCCTTTGTCACAAGCCCTGCAGCCCCCCCTACTTTGTACAGACACCCACCTTGTGCTGCATTGGACCCCTGCTGTGCAAGGTCAGCAGGGTAAACTTTTCCCCTGTGGTGCCAATGGCAGAGGATCTCCCTGCAAGATGCCTGGGGCAAGTTTTATTGTTCTTGTTTCTCTACCAAGTGCCAGCCCTACCCTGGGTGTGGTCTGAGACACCTATGGCAGGGCCCAGGCACTCACCTCCAAAAGACCAGACAAGGTCACACGGGGAGCCCACAGAACAGGGTGTGGTCTGACACCCATGGCAGGGCCCCGGCACTCACCTCCAAAAGACCAGACAAGGTCACACGGGGAGCCCACAGAACGGAATCTTCAGATGCCAACCCTGCAAACCAGCCCTAGAGAGAGCAGCCCCCCTGTGCCTACATACAGGCCCCTGGCAGTTTAGTCATTATTGATTAATTATCTGGCAGATTAAATATGTTCCCCTTTTGTAGCCTGGCAGGAAAAGCGAGATCTGGCTTCTGAATTCACTTACCCTGCTGAAAACAGGAGGAAGGCGAAGACGCTGACGTGAGACTGGTGTACAAGCAGCTTGAGATAAGAATGTGTCTGGACGCTGAGAGAGCGGCAGTAATCAGTTAGGGTGTAATCTCTTTGGGGCAGAGACCACCTCCTGGGGCTGGCTTGTAAAGCATCCAGAGCCCAGCAGATCTCTAGGAAGAAGCACAAGAAAGCCTTTCTCATTCTCACTTGGTAATCCACAAGTCCCAATGGGTCCACCCAAAATATCCCCTCCAGCTTCTCAGTGAGGATTTCAGAGACCTCTGGCATGACAGTGACAGGCATGGCCAAGTCCTCGGGATGGTCCAAATATCCCCTTCTCATAGCTCCAAGCATTGTACGTGAATTGCTTGCTAGCCCTTCCCCCTTCACCGCAGCAAGGCCTGGCATTGGAGGAGGGCACAACTTCTATTCTAAGGCCGGGAGGATGCAGCCTCGTGGGCTGTTTTATTGCAGGCTTTTTAATTACAGGCGTTTTGCTGGATCATTTGCAAATGTGGTTTCTGCCACATGTTCACCTGTGGAATGAGTTTCTACTTTGGATGTTTCATCAGTTTCCCACCACCAGGGTTTGGTCTCATTCCGAGGTGATAGATATTTCCTGTGAGTTTCCTATCTATCTATCACCTCGGAATGAGACCAAACCCTGGTGGTGGGAAACTGATGAAACATCCAAAGTAGAAACTCATTCCACAGGTGAACATGTGGCAGAAACCACATTTGCAAATGATCCAGCAAAACGCCTGTAATTAAAAAGCATACATCCCCCCTCTATCTCTCCATCCATCTATCCATCCCCGTACACTATCTATTCCCATACAATCGCTCTCTCTCTATCCCCACACACCTGTCTATCTATCCTCAGTACACACATACACTAGACACACAGGCTACATCTAGACTGGCATGATTTTCCACAAATGCTTTTAACGGAAAAGTTTTCCGTTAAAAGCATTTGCGGAAAAGCGTGTCTAGATTGGCCCGGACGCTTTTCCTCAAAAGCACTTTTTGCAGAAAAGCGTCCGTGCCAATCTAGCGCTTTTCCGCAAAAAAGCCCCAATCGCCATTTTCGCGATCGGGGCTTTTTTGCACAAAACAAATCTGGGCTGTCTACACTGGCCCTTTTGCGCAAAAGGACTTTTGCCCGAACGGGAGCAGCATAGTATTTCCACAAGAACACTGACAATCTTGCATGAGATCGTCAGTGCTTTTGCGGAAATTCAAGTGGCCAGTGTAGACAGCTGGCAAGTTTTTCTGCAAAAGCGTCTGCTTTTGCAGAAAATCTTGCTAGTCTAGACACAGCCACACTGTATAGGCCAATGCATGTACTACATCCAAGCCACATATATTCTGCCATTTCTCAAATGCAGGGAGGGAGTCACATGGACAAAACATCCCCACATGAGAAGAGGAGGTTGGGTCAAGGACATCAGGGACCTGCTGTAATGTCTACACACAAGAGACAAGGCCTCGGTTGAAAGGCCTCGTTCCCACGCCCTGAGTGAAGAGCAGGGGGTGCTACAAAGGTTTGGGCCTATGGTTCCAGAGGTTCGGGTATGCTGGCACTCATGGGACAAAGCCTTCCTTCCTAGGATGTGTTGTCCACCCACACTTATAAAGGCTGACAAAGATCAGGAGGTGCACATTAGGAGCAATAGAAGGGGCATGTTGTAGTTCTAATCCTGGATATGCAGCTTTCTCAGCTACGGTGATGTCCTGGGATGTACGAGAGACGTGGAGAGGATCACTTCCTCTCTTCCCAGGGAGGTGATATCTCTCCTTAGTAAAGCCCTGCATGGATATGAAATTTGTATCTGCAAAAATGAGCCATGGATATTTGCACTGAGCTGTGGATGGGGATAGCCACACAATTGCAGGGGTCTAGATACAAAATTTGCATCCGCCTCTGCAAAAATGAGTCATGGATATCTGCATCCATACCCATGGGCTATGTCTAGACTGCAGGCTTCTTTCGAAAGATGCTCTTTCGAAAGCATCTTTCGAAAGAGCATCTTTCGAAAGATCGCGTCTAGACTGCACGCGGATCTTTCGAAAGAAAAATCCGCTTTTTCGAAAGAGAGCACCCAGCGAGTCTGGATGCTCTCTTTCGAAGACGGCCTCTTTACATTGAAGAACGCCTTCCTTCGAAAGAGGAACTTTCGAAGGAAGGCGTTCTTCCTCGTGAAACGAGGTTTACCGACATCGAAAGAAAAGCCGCGTTCTTTCCAAATAATTTCGAAAGAACGCGGCTTGAGTCTGGACGCAGGGGAAGTTTTTTCGGGAAAAGGCTACTTTTCCCGAAAAAACCCCTGAGTCTGGACACGGCCATGGAGGCAGACACGGGGGATATCTGTGGATTTGCAGGGCTCAACTCATTGTGCAGCTCAGAGTTGCAACGGCTGAGTTGTTTGGTTGACTCATCCCATTGCAAGAGTGACTCTTTCTCATGCTCAAAGTGTCTCTTTCTCTCTCCCCCACCACTTGTGTACATAAATGTCCGTGGCATCCGTTGCATTCCAGAGGGCAACTCACCCCGGTTGTGAGGAGTGAGTAGATCCGGGAAAGCTGCATGAAGCTCCTGAAAAGCAACAGA